CCACGCAGGAGGCTGTTAAATGAGATAAGGGCCCAAGGTGTTAGGGGAAAGGTATTAGTATGGATAGAGGGTTGACTGACTGGCAGAAGGCAAAGAGTTTGGATAAAGGGGTCTTTTTCAGAATGACAGACGGTGACTAGTGGAGATTTTCAAGGGTCGGTGTTAGGACCACGCCTATTCACATTATACATCAACGAACTGGACAAAGCAATTGGGGACTTTGTTTGCTAGTTTTTCAGATGACACAAAAATCGATGGAGGGACAGGTAGTGTTGAGAAAGCAAAAGGCTGCAGAAGGTCTTGGACAGGCTAGAAGAGTGGGCATAGAGATGGCAGGTGGAATTCACTATGGGGAGGTGTGAGGTTACGCACTTTGAAATAATAGAGAGAAGGGTTTTGGAAATCTGAAACACAATTGGATTTTGGCATTCCAAGTCAGGATTCTCTTAAGGTTAACACGCAGGTTCATTTGGCAGGTAGGAAGCCAAATGCAATGTTAGCATGCACTTTGAGAGGGCTAGAACACAAAAACAGAAGTCTAGTGTTGAGGCAGTATTAGGCTCTGGTCAGACTGCATTTGGAATATTATGAGCAGTTTTGGCCCTATATCTAAGGAAGGATGTGTTATCCCTGGAGGGGTTTAGGGGAGCTTTACAAGAATGACCCCAGGGATGAAGGATTTGTCATGTGGGGAGCTATTGAGGACTCTGGGTCTGTACTCTATGTAGTTTAAAAGGTTGAGGGGAGATCACATTGAAACTTACAGAACACTGAGAGGCCTGGATAGAGAAAATGTGGAGAAAATGTTTCTACTAGTAGGAGATACTTGGACCCAAGATTAGAAAGGAGGGATGGCTGTTTAGAACTGAGATGACAGGAAGAATGGTGAATCTATGGAACTCATTGCTGCAGGAGGTTGTGGAAGCCAGTCACTGAGCATACTTAAGACACAGATTCTTGATTTGTAAGGGGATTAAATGTTAAGGGGAAAAAGTAGGAGAATGGGGTTAAGAAACTTATCAGCCATAGTCAAACAGTAGAGCAGACTCAATGGGCCAAATGACCTAATTCTGCACGTATATGTGTTCAGTAGAATACTGCATTTTCCTGTTTTGCAGCATGACTCGTTTCAAAGCGTGAAGCACAACGATCACAAGTCACCTTGTTAGCTGTTGAAAATAATGATATGTATGTCTCCTAAACCATTAACTGCACTGTTCCTATCATAGATTAGAAGTATGCCCTTCTTCTGATCTCACACCTATCCTGTTATATCTAGCATAAATTGAAGACTCTGAACAAAAGCCAACAGCTTCCTTCTATTCCTACATTATCATACATGGGCTGGCTTTGCTGGCTCTTATCACTAACTCCAGGAATGGCAGACAACAGGGGCACACAGACTCCTGCTTAGAAGACACAAATAAATTCACAAGAATGGAATATTTAGATTTGAAGGCCAGCGGCATGCAAGTTGTTGATCTTATGTGCGCAAATTGAATTACACAATTCATCAAAATTAATTTAAACATCCTATGGCATTATCTTGAACATCATGATTTTCACAGGCCATTCATTTTACCTGCTACTTTAACAGTGCTGCTGCTTTTAAGGCTCAGGCAGCCTCAAGACATAATCTGGGGATCGTTATTCAAACCCCAGAGTATCCCCAGCAGTGTTTGCCATCTCACTTTGACAAGATTGAACAGGAAATACTCGCGTTATCTTCGTGAGCGCAGTGTACTTCTTGTATACTCTGTCTTTATTATTACAGTCAGTGCTGGACTGGAAGCTCAGGCATAATGCATTGGCTCAGCATTTAATAAAGGATTGCTGTCTTTTAAACAGAGTTGGTAAAGAGGGATCAATAGAGGTGTTCAAAATCATGAAGGGCTTTATGGAGCAGATCATGAGAAGTTCTTTCAAATGTTGGAAGGGTCAGTAAGAAGAGGAAAGGTTTAAAGTTGGTTTACACAAGACTCAGAGGTGGAATGAGGAGCTTTTTATTTAATGCAATGATTATGACTGAAAAGTTGGTGGAAAAAAAAATCAGTGATAGCCTCCAAAGAGAATATTGATAAATACTTGTAGGGAGTATATTTCAGCACGCTAGGGAGCAAGCAAGAGTGAGAGTTTAATTGGAAAACTCCTATAGAGGAAACGTTGGCATGATTGCTGAAATGGCCCTATCTGTATCCTAGATTCTATGATTCAGTTGCTAATCTCAGTTTCAACACTGGGTGGACAGAAGGGTATGACTAAATTTGGGCATATGATGAATATGAGGAAGTTGCAAAGCCCTAATAATAATATGGATAAATTGAATCAGGAAGATTGAGAATTGTTGGGTTAGAGAATTAAGGAATATTGCAATTCATCAAATATTCAAACCAACAGTACACATCATACATTGTCATTCCTAATTGTCCTTGAACTAAGTGGCTCTCTAGGCCATTTCAGAAGGTAGTTAGACGTTAACCACATTGTTGAATGTCTGGAGTGACATGTAGCCAAACCAGGGAAGGATGTCAAATTGTTTTTCCCTAAATCTTGAGTGAATCAGATTGGTTTTCACAACAATTGATTAATGCCATGGTAACCATTTCTAAAGCTAGCTTTATATTCTGGATTTATTAATTGATTAAAGTTCCACCACGAGTGGTGGATTTGAACCCATGCCCCAGAACATTAGACCTGGGCCTCTGGAGTACTAGTGCACTGATGTCACTATCTCTTCCCCCACCCCAATAAGAATCTATTAATTATTATACTTTTCCATGCTGTCACAAATTTGTTCCGATCTGTTTCATAACCTGTCAAGAGCAGGTAAGCCCTGCAAATAAACCAGTCATGTGATAAACAGATTTTGTTTAGGTCTTCAGTATCTGAAAGGCCTCTCACGATTATTCTGTAGCTTAATTCACAAAACCTTACTTCTGCTGTGAGGTGGTAAATGAGTTGGGAAGGAGGTATGTCCTATGCAACAGCAAGCATTTTCTCCTGACCTATAGGTCTGCAACATTGTTAATGATGGGTACGGAATTCATAAAGTGTATACATAATTTGCACAGCCAGATGATCCATTACAAGCTTTTACTTTCAGCCTTTGTGCAGACATCAGTGCAGTGGATTTGTATTCAACAGTAATAACCTTATTGCTAATGATTATATGTCAAGCAGAAACAACTCAAGATGCCATGTTGGATACTCCTGAGATGCTTCAGGTCCTTGCAAATCAGAAGTTTTGATATCAACCGATAACTGTTCTGTTTATAATGATAAGATTATTTTACCTCCGCACAGACATGGGGCAGAGTATTTGACTTCGACAGAGAAGTTAAATTGAAGTCAATGGGAATTAAAATCAGGTGGGGTGTATAATGGGCAGCCAGATTGAAGGCCCAAGTTTTACCATTCTGCCAAAGTTAATAGTTCTTCCCATGAAATTTTGCAGTACGATTACTTTGGTTTTCCTGTCACTTTATTGCTCACATCTGCATTTTCCTGCTTCATAATTGGTTTCAAAGTGAAATGTAACTTTTGCTTGCTTTTATGCATAACTTTTTGATGGGCCTTAATGGTTTTCATGGTTTTTTGGTTGGTCAGACCGAGAAGACTAGAAGTTCCTTCTGGTGGTATTGATAGCAAACATCCAACAGACTTGAATGATATTTCATTGTTATTTCAATGCATCATTTATTTTATGTGTAATGCTTTTCCTAAAATAGCACAGAGAAACATCATAAATGCTTTTCAGTATATCTTGGTTACAGTAAAATCTAATGAATATAAATGGGTCTCTGCATGCATGAAAACTTAGGTTTCATTTTAACCTGTGAGTAGACCACAAGGATCAATTTGTCTACTGGTCTGAAGCTGAAAAGTACCTCGATTTATACTACTAACTGCTTGCTTTCAGTTGTAATTCTCTTGCCCAAAAGTGTACTGTCCCTTGACGTGCAAAACATCTCTCCTTACACCCACACACCTTTGGAACTAGCTTTAATGCCGTACTGAAATTATGTGGCTTCAATATGTTACTTCCTTTAGGGTGCAGGTCAGCACTACCTACAAAATTATAGTACTCACCGACATTGAGAATGCAGGAGAAAAGACAAGGAAATATCTTCAGACATCATTCATGATAGTGGCAATTTTCAGAAAAGTTTTACAGTTACAGCACTAAATTTACACTTTATGTTGGTTTTCCGATTTCTCAAGCAGCCAATATCTATCATAGTGGTTACTAAAACAACTAATACTAATTATGATCAAGACTGTGTTAGCACTGACTTGGTGGCTGTTAAGAGATGTGTTAGAGTGGTGTGGAATGAGCAAAGTTGAAAAGAAGCTTTAAAATAATTTTTCCAGCTGAGATTAGTAGCTCCATTGTTGTGATAGCTCATGTCTGCTGTTTTGGAGTACAGTATATCCATTGTCTAATACATTATACCATTGTGACCAGCAAAGACTTTTAAATTAATTGAGTTACAATACATTGAAAACTGAAAGAAAAGCCAGCATTTCTTAGTTGTGTTTACTGACTTTGAAAAATTCCCAGTACTTGATCGGGGAAAAATTACAAATTGCTTTTAATCAGTCTCTATTATCCACAGTGCAGTCTTGGAGGCCTTTTTACAAGTGCCTCTGGGTCTAGTGCTGTCTTCGTCATGTACTTCGTTAGTAATTTTCAGATTTTGCTGTTCAGTCATGCCTGTACTCTTGTAAGATTTCTCAGTTTCTGAATCAGTTTTAAAGAGGGCTTTAAAACCATATATTTATTCAGTTGGGGCAATTTTTTCATGTTTTAGTTTAAAAGATTTAGTTGTTCATAAAGTAGTTGCACCTGATTTTGTTTACATGTATTTACAGGTTATGCAATTAGAAATCTTCCACTCAGCCCACAGTCATCGATCGACAGTGAACTGAGCACTTCTGAGCTCGATGATGAATCTATCTCTATGGGTTATAAACTACAGGACTTGACAGATGTCCAGATCATGGCGAGACTACAAGAAGAAAGTGAGTGCATTATTAGCTAAGCACACAGTGTAACATATCTCATATTAGCAAGTAATATTGTCAAGAATATCCTTAACTTTAGCAGATGCAGTGTTTCAGATTTCCTTTGGTTGGAACAGTGATCTGGTCGTGGATGAGCAACAATAATGGGTTTCTTCTGCATTAGTTTTCAATAAAGCTCACTCTAGAGTATGCTGAAGAATATCTAATATTCTCCACAATTCTTTGTTTTGAATTTCCCTGTCTGAATGCTCACTCTGAGTTTGGACTGCAAACTGCTTATACTTCTGATATTCATGTAAATTTTGTTATTTTCTTACAAGTTAATTTCCATTCAGTAGGAGTGAAGGAATAATTTCTTCACATAACATATGAAGGACTCCCCCCATTCTTTATTTTAAAAAGCTTTTATTTTCAGCTTGAAAGAAGCAATTGCCCCGTAGTGATGAGAGTTGTTCAGATCACGCTGGTGGAATCAATTGGTCATCTGATGATTTCATTTATTTCAGCAAAAACCTCCAATTTGGCTGTTATGTACATTGCTTTCAAATTATTGGCTATTTCATATTTATACCATAAAACTTGTTTTGTCTTATTGAGAGCAGGCCTGCTTGCTTTTTTGCCTTCTTCAGATGACCATAGTGTACTCCTATTTTTGTAGCTGAACACTTGTGGAACCAATGCTACATCTCGCATTACATTCCCTTGTAACTAACCCACCTGCACTGCCGCCGCCCTCCTCGATAGCTATTTACAGTTATTTTTTCCCAGTATGTTTTATCATTGCTTGGTAGACATGACAGAACATAGAACATAGAACATTACAGCGCAGTACAGGCCCTTCGGCCCTCGATGTTGTGCCGACCTGTGAAACCAATCTGAAGCCCATCTAACCTAAACTATTCCATTATCATCCATATGTTTATCCAATGACCATTTAAATGCCCTTACAGTGGGCGAGTCTACTATTTCTGCAGGCAGGGCATTTCACGCCCTTACTACTCTCTGAGTAAAGAACCTACCTCTGACATCTGTCCTATATCTATCACCCCTCAATTTAAAGCTATGTCCCCTCGTGCTAGCCATCACCATCCGAGGAAAAAGGCTCCCACTGTCCACCCTATCTAATCCTCTGATCATCTTGTATGTCTCTATCAAGTCACCTCTTAACCTTCTTCTCTCTAACGAAAACAGCATCAAGACCCTCAGCCTTTCCTCATAAGACCTTCCCTCCATACCAGGCAACATCCTGGTAAATCTCCTCTGCACCCTTTCCAATGTTTCCACATCCTTCCTATAATGCGGTGACCAGAACTGTACGCAATACTCCAAGTGCGGCCGCACCAGAGTTTTGTACAGCTGCAACATGACCTCATGGCTCCGAAACTCAATCCCTCTACCAATAAAACCTAACATACTGTACGCCTTCTTAACAACGCTATCAACCTGGGTGGCAACTTTCAGTGATCTACGCACATGGACACCGAGATCTTTCTGCTCATCCACACTACCAAGAATCTTACCATTAGCCCAGTACTCTGTATTCCTGTTATTCCTTCCAAAGTGAATCACCTCACACTTTTCCGCATTAAACTCCATTTGCCACCTCTCAGCCCAGCTCTGCAGCTTATCTATGTCCCTCTGTAACCTGCAACATCCTTCCGCACTATCCACAACTCCACCAACTTTGGTGTCATCCGCAAATTTACTAACCCATCCTTCTACGCCCTCATCCAGGTCATTTATAAAAATGACAAACAGCAGTGGCCCCAAAACAGATCCTTGAGGTACACCACTAGTAACTGAACTCCAGGATGAACATTTCCCATCAACCACCACCCTCTGTCTTCTTACAGCTAGCCAATTTCTGATCCAATGATACCATGACCTGTCAAATTTCTTCTTCTCAATGTACTCATTTGTGTTCAAAATAACCTTGTGAGAATTGTCAGTACTGGACGTCTTGCTGCAAAATTAGTTATTAGCTGCAGAGAATATTAACGTAAAATAATTTTAATTTTGATGGGTTTTCCCAGTTTATTTATTGGAATAATGTACGATAACAAGTTGCACATTCTCTGTTTGGAGCTAGAGGAACACAGCAGGCCAGGCAGCATCAGAGAAGCAGGAAAGTGGACGTTTCGGGTCAGGACCCTCCTTTCTCTGAAGAACGACCCTGACCTGAAACGTCAACTTTCCGGCTCCTCTGATGCTGCCTGGCCTGCTGTGTTCATCCAGCTCCACACTGTGTTGTCTCTGACTCCAGCATCTGCAGTTCTTGCTATTTTCGCTCATTCTCTGTTTGCATGCTTCTTTGTAAAAACAATTTGATTCTCTGTCCTTTTTAAAAGATCTTCGATCACAGTGTCACCACTGGGACCATTGATTTAACCAGTCAGAACATTCAATCTTAAACGTGCTATTTTGTAACTATCTTTTGTTAAAGTTATACATTATCTCATATGTCAGGCTTTTTGTGTTAAGAACTTTACATGAACTCAGGATGTCGCAGAGCACTGCAGACAACAAAACATAGTGTAGCCACTTTTGTAATATAGGGAACGTGGCAGTCAGTTTGTAGAACCAAGTCTTGAGCAGCAGTGAAACAATCTGTTTTTGACTGAAATGGAGGAATAAATATTGGCCATTACGCTGGGGAAGTAATGACTTAGGAGCTGAGAGGGCAGATGAAGCCATAACCTACTGTCTCATCCAGAAGATAGCATCTTCAACACTGCAGCACTCTCTCATTCTGTCAGTGTGTGTCATCCCAGATCTTTGTGCTCAGCCCTATGAAATGGCATTTGAACCCATAGCCTTCTGACCCGGAGGTGAGAATGTCACCAGTTGAATTATGGCTTGTACTATAGTTATATAATGAAAATCATACATTTTTGTGTATCATTCAGTAAACAGTCGTCACATGTTTTAATACCATAGATCATGGTACATAAGTTGACCTTTGAAGTTATGAAACATCCTTCCTGAATCAGATTGGTATAAGTGGCGATTATAAAATGTGAAGCACTGATGATGGTGTAAGTGGTTTTCCTGTGGGTGTGTCTTAAAGCTCCACCAAACTTTTTGGCAGCAGGAGCCATATCTCCTGCTTCATCTCATTAGGCGATAATAACATGAGTATAACCTTAAACATGTATTTCTGAGCTGAAAAATTAAGTCTGCCTCCTAATATGAGGATAACCTTAAACATTAATTAGCTGTAGAATGTGAGAGGTCGAATTATACACCAAATATAAAGATGAATTGAACCATTTGAAAACTCGGTCATCTTGTATGCTGGTTCAAATTTTATACTGTGATCCATGAAATTTATTTTGTGTGTTCTATTTTAGTGCTGAATACATTTAGAAAAAGAACAGAAATTATGTTCTGTTATAAATTTGTGGCTTGTGCTCCTCGCAGCAAACCACTTCCTAATTATTTTTGTATGTTTATTTTGCCTGGTTTCTAGGTCTACGACAAGATTATGCTTCCACTTCAACAACACTCTCTCAACGCAGCTCCAGCACGTCATTATATTCAGCAAAGCGAGGGACAAGCAGCGACCAGGAGTACGACTGCTGCAGTCTGGACGATGAAGAGGAATTTGACCAACTTCCTCCACAACCTCGGCTCACCAGGTGCTCTCCACCGTTGCGAAGTATGCCACATTCACAGACTTTTGCCAGCATACGAGAATGCAGAAGAGGTCCAACACCTCCTTCTTACTTGCAATCCAGTGGTTACTCGTCGTATTACTCACAGGGTCACACATCTGATCAGCATCAGTACCGAACAAATGCAGGTAAAATTCTAAAGATCATTTCTAAAAAAGTGTTTCTCATCTTGAATTTGTATTTTCATTGACAGTCAAGGTGAAGATGTCCAGGTTGAAGTCGGAGATTCCTTTGTGTTTCAGTGCTGGCATCCAGCATCCCTACCAACAATTCAGGTGTAGCATGCATCAGATGCTGATTAAAACCTCCCTGTTCTTCCCTGAAGAATGTGTCTTTTAAACTTAAGTACTAAAAAGAGAGAGGAACCGCTGCTGAATCTTTATCATGATATACTTCAAGTTCATGTTCAATTTTTAGCCACTCCATTGAAGAAACTACCAAATCATTCTACTTGTAATTATGAGTTGCACTATCTTTACGATGTCATGACGTGGTTAAGATCACTGTTGAGTTGAAGTAGTTGCCTCTAACATAAATTTCAGAATAAATTTTATCAGTTAGCACTCCCAATATGAAGCTTCATGTTCTTTGAATATGCAATGAGAATCCAGACTATTCAGAAAGCTGACTTCTACATTGGAATTCTAAATGGCCCGGATCTCCCGAATGCCAAAAACTGGATATATGACCAGAGGTGCATTTTGGAAATCCTTGGACATTTTGATGCTCTGAATCCTTGCAAATTTCCTGGCAATTGTGAACTTCTGAGGGATAATTTCTCCACTCCAAGCATCCTCAGAGGAAGTCGTTGACTCTGACCTAAACCCGGACACTTTGGTCAGTTGTGATCTACTTATCTGAATAGTTACTAAGGAAACGTTAGACACAAGTTCCTAGTCTAATTGCTAATGATACAATTGATCCACCTCTGGACTCCTCCCACTGACCCCGAACCTGACCTGATTAGACCCCTTAAGCTTGCCCACCATGGACTCCGTCCCCAGACCACCTAACCCAACATGACAGGGTCCTCCACCCAACTGCTCCTCACTCCTCTAAAGCACTGTCCAACCCTTCAACACCACCTCCAACCTAGCCTGACTCTCCGCTGGCTCGATAACTGCTCTAAATCTGATCCGACAACCCACCTTACCCTGCTGTCAACCTACCCAGTTGCCAATTATTGTGTGGGCATGCCAACTCACTACACTTCCGACCATGATAATGGTTGCTACTGACACCTTTCTTTTAAGTTCAGGAAACTAGAAGACTGTTTTGTCTAGTGTGGTAGAGGAAAACCACTTCTAGGTCTAATTTAAGAAGTCTCTTGTAGTTAACATGCTACAGTTCATTGCATGTTAGCAACGAGTTACGAGTTACATTGATATGATAGACATTGTTAGAGACTTTGAGGAGGACCAGGTGTTAGGTTTCTGTCTTTTGATTTTTAAAATTTTTTTCTGCTCAAGTTCATAATACATCATCATTGTGGCTGGTGCTTATGCCACCCTGCAGTATTAACCCTTTCAGACCCACATACAATATCCATACTCCCCCAGTTATTTTTTTTCCAATATTAATATATATTCATGTGTTTAATTACATTTACCACTACCCCATTTCCTCCCAAATCTCTGACTTTAAAAATTCAGGTGAGCTGCAGGTTGTGTTATCCTACTGGAATGCATTCTCTCCTGACTGGAAGGCTGGTAGCTTGCTGGGTAAAAGACAGTTGTCTTTGATGGTCTGATGTCTGGATGACTTCAATCTCTTGGATTTCGTCTTTGGAGGATGTCTTTGCTGCTGAAACAGGCAGCGTCTTTGAAGTATGCTAAATCTCTAAAACAGGTCATTTCTTCCTTGTACTATCTTCAGTCATTGGACGTTAGTTGTCCCTTCTCAATGGTGGCTTCCATGAAGTTGTATGTAACAGACTTGTCTTCATAAGCCACTTGTAGATTTGTGCTGAAGCATGTCAGCTCTGTACTTCAACCTATTGGTTGGTTGAGACTCCCCCATTCATCTTTTGTGATTCCATTAGTGGTGAAACCAGTGTTCACTTTCTCAGTTCTGCTCTTTGAAGATAGATCATGGCAAGCCAGAAACATTCTCCCTGTTATTGAGGATTCTTCCTGGGAAGTAAAGGAAATTAAAATCTCTGTTTTTAATCTGCATCTTCTGAATCACTTCAGTATCGGCCATTAGACTTCAATGCGTCATAACTATTTATTTATAGGGCTTTGTTCCATTCTGAGCTACCTTCATTGATGACAAATCATTGAACTCAAATGGAATGTCGTGTTCATTGGATCGGTCATTTTAAAGAATATTTGCCCCACTTCTGCCCAGCTGATCAATCCAGTGATATCCTCCTGCAGTGTGGAGTTTTCCCCTCACTATTCACCACCCTTCTGATTTCCATGTAATCTGCAACGTTCTTGATTATAACCCCTATATTTAAGTCCAAATCATTAACGTACATTACAATAGCAAGGGCCTCAGCATTGCAGAACCCTACTCATAACAGACTTCAGGCGCCTGAAACATGCCTTGACCATTGCTGTCTGATTCCAGCCTTTCAGCCAATTTTAATCAAACATGTCACTTTGCCTTGAGTCATTAGTTTTTAATGTTTTGACCAGTCTGCCATGAGGGACCTTATCAAAAGCCTTTCTAAATCCATATACATCACATAAAATGCATGACTCTTATCAAAATGCTTGATCAAATTTATCAAACACAATCTTCCCATAATAAATCCATGCTGATTACCCCGAATTAACCTGTGTCTCGCCATGTGCAGAGATACTGTGTTCCTCAGACGTACTTCTGATAACTTCCCCACCACTAAGGATAGACTAAGCAGCCTGTATTTTTCTGGTCTTTCCCTTCTTCTCTTTTCTTTAAAATAATGTTAACTGTCCTGTGGTACCTCACCAGTGAAAATAACTCTCAAAGCACTTGATATCCCCTCCCTCCCCTCTCTCTTCTTCCTCCCCTTCAATACATCACATCTCATTCCTGAACTGTAACCACTTTTAAAGCCGCTAAATCCACTAGAACCTCCCGTTTCTCTGTTACTTTCTTCCACTATTTCACAGCCTTCCACCCTGACACCTATGCCTGCATCATCCTTTCCCATTCTGAAGACTTATGTAGAGTATTCCTCTGTTGTCTTGAATGGGCCATACTCCTTCCCTAGTTTATTCTCTTACTGTTTATATATTGTAAAAACCACTTTGGGCTTGCCTTTATTGTAGACACCAATTCTTTCTCATGCACTCTGTTAGCTTTCCTAATTTCCTCCTTTACTTCACCTTGCTGCATTAGAATTATTCCATTGTGGAAGCAGGCCATTCAGCCCATCGAGTCCATACCAACCCTGTCTTTGCATTCCAAAATCATATGACACAGGAGAAGGCTATCAGTCCATCAAGCCTGTACTAGTGCTTTGAATGAGATTTTCAGTTCATCCCACTCCTGTTCTTTCTCCCATAGCCTTGTAAAGTTTTGCTTTCTGAGTTTATTTCCACTTCTTTTTAAATCTGCACCTTCTCAGGCACCACTTTCCAGCTCTATATTGCATAAATTTGGCGCAAATAAAAATCTCTCCACAGCTCCAATGTTTTAATTTTCACTCCCAATTATCCCATACCTGCATCCACACATATTGCCCCTCCTGCTGAGGGAAATAGTGCCTCCCTTTTCAGAGGGGAGCTAAGAGGCAACCACATTTCACCTGGCCTGGAGTTAATGTTCCCTTAGGGACTCTGCTGTGTTGAGCACTTAGTATCTGCCATAATTTTCTTTTTCATTTTTAAAGCTAACCTTTATGTCTCTGACACCTAGGATTCTCTGGCCTTGGTCCCACCCTTTCCTTTACAGGAACATATTTGTCTCAGATAACACAGTGTGGAGCATATTTGTCTCATTCTCTTGCTGCTTCATCGTTGAATGCCTCCCACTGCGGTGACACAGTTTTATCTGCAAGTATCTGCTCCCTTTCCACTTAGGCCAGATTGAATCTTGCCTTAGTAAAATTAGCCTATCAACAATTTAGAACTTTTATTTACAGTCCATCCCTAACCTTTTCCATAACCGAGTCATGATCACTATCTCCAAAATACTCCCCTACTGTTATGCCTTTATCCTCTCAGTGATGGCTGACTGCCTGTCTCAATGTCCTTACCTCACCCTTCCCTCTCCATCTACTTAACAGAGGTACACTTGAGATTTTCTTCTCTTGTAAACTGTTCTACCTCATTATCCACTTTGTGTGCAGCTATTTGATTTCTTCCTTTTTCTGAAACTGAGTCCCATTTCTGCACACTTTCTGAAAGTTACCTAATAGGTGACAAATAAAGTATTAATTTGTAATAGCTGAACACTTAATTGTGCCTGTGAAGTTTCTTTGCTCCATAGTGCTGACAAGTTGTCTTGTGTCTGTTCTCCTCAATGTATTAACTTCTTTCACTTGGGTCAACTTTCTGGTTTTGTACCTCAAGAATTAAATGGACACTGCTGATCTCCTGTGCCAAAGTTGATCCTCTCCTCATAGAACTGATCTATGTAGCTTACAGACTTTAGCTTCACTCACCGCCTGAATCGTTTTCCCCAGAGTCTAGCCTTCACTCACTGACTTGTACTGTCTTAACTATGACTCAACACCATTCCCAAGATCATGGTGTTGTGATGCACCCAGTATCTGCTTTGGAGTTACTAAGGCTGCTTCTCCAGGGAGGTGCCAACTCTCCTGTTGCAGTCCATATATTACCAAGTCGTAACGGTTTTAATCTTTCACAGGAGTATTATTCCTTATTGAGGAATGCCATGAGAATTTCCTATTTAGGGTCCTTAATTCTTCACCTTTCCTGCTGATGACTCGGCTGTATGAGCAGGCAACTTAAAGGTGAGTAGGAAGATTGCAGATTGTAGGTAGGTTGCCAGATGGTGCTGATGCCATGTCAGTGAGGGTAAGATGCCAGTTGGATAGGTTGCCAAGTGGTTAGGGGTTGGGTAGGAGGTATCAGGGCAGTAGCGTGCCATGTAAGTATGATGCCAGGGTGCAAGATGGCAAGGGGTCAGGTAGGTGATAGTGTTCAGGGTAGATCAGGGTGGGCGGGAGAAATTGGTTCTGGGTGTCGGGTGGAAGGGTCCCTTGACAGGAAAAAGGTATTGGCACCAAGAGAGGATGAGATTATGGTGAAGACGAGTTGGCTCCCAGATGGTGAAGGGGGGCCATGTTTGAAATTAAGGGAAGGTGGATGGTCGGGTGAGTGGGTGAATGGAGGTCAGCTTTGGAATGGGTTGGATTTTGAGGGTGGGGGACACTGTCAGTTCCTGGAGAGAAAGAGGGTGTCAGGTCAGGGTTGATCTAGTGTTTGTAATTAATGTGGAGTGAGAGATATGTTTTGGATTAGTTGAATAGTTACTCAGGAGTTAGACTATGTAATTAATAATCCAACTTTTCCAAAATAACTATTCACTTAATTTCATTGGAATCATACCAATTCTCTGATTTAAATGGAGATTTTCTGAGGGTGCCAGGCATAGATGAATTGCCCAGGAGAAAATTCAAATTCCCCAGCAATTCCCATGGATTCTGCTACAATGGAGATCCCATGTGCATTGTCTCATCTGCACTAGAATAACTGCTGTCGGTAGGTGGGTAGATTGGTTAATATATCTCAAATAAAACCTCACTTCTGTCTCACCAGAAATTACGCCGTTCTGGATGAGAATGTTGTAAGGTTTTCATTGCTTTGGGAAGGACCTTACTCAAATGGTACTCACTATGTGCTGAAATTGATTCTCTGTATATCGTGTGGTCATGACTGAGCCCAAAATTTACACTTTGGCAATATTTACAAAGGACAGCATTCTAGTGTTTCTGGGCATGTAAGTTTATGCTTCTAAATCCAATCCCTGAGATTTTTTTTGCTGGAACTATGCAGTCTTAAGAAGCTAAGGAAAAATTAATTGTTTTCTTATTGCAGATTTTTGCAAAGGAAAGAACTAGCATTTTCTGTTGTAGAAGTGATTTTTTGCTTGGCTTTGGAGCAGAAAATCCTCGAATGCAAATGGAAGAAGGTGCAAGTTTTTCTGTGTAATCAATAACCTGGATGTGAAATTGTAGAAATAGGAAGCTTTGAAATGTTTGTGCATGTCTTAATTGAAGAGAGAGAGATCTATTCTTCCTTGATTGTTGATACATTTTACTCCCAAATAGTGGTTGGCAGTTCTATTAAAAAATAATTTTAACATTTGGCTTTGCTGATTGGAAATTTGTACGCATATATTTTGTATCTCATCTTGCTGTTTCTTTCAATCTCCAAAGCTCAGACTGCCTTGGAATATTGATATGCATTTGAAATTTGTCAAATTGTCTCTGTAACTGAAATTTTATCCAAATTCAATAGTCCCATCTTACATTGACCTGACCTGTAATTTCAATATCCTCCTTAAATTTCTTGGTAGAATTGCAATAATAGCAAGTCATCATTCACAAATCCAACGTTGTCATCCGATTTTATAGAATTTTGTTTGTTTGTAACTACATTATAACAATATAAACTGACTCCAAGATGTATTAATATTTCAATGCAAATTACATGAAGAAAAGTTGTAAATATCTGTCTAGGTTAAATGAAACCTTAAGGTGCTAAATTTTGTGCTAAATTATGCATCAACAATTTTATGTTGAACTGACAGTAATAAATTTACAGTCAGGCTGCATCTTAGACTGTCACAAAAACACAATTAAAAGCCTGAGGGACAGGAACAAATATAATGATGTCAAAATTCTTTTTGAAGTTTTCACATCATTTTCCAGATTATGCTGGAGATTATTAAAAGGATAAACAGCTGCCATCGGTGTCTTGTGGATCTCTTACTTCCAATTATCAATTTCCTCTGGACAAGGTGAAATCTCATGAAAACCAGTGGTAATTCGGTATTTTTTTCATAAGGCAAGCTGTTTTTTTGCCCAGGCAAGGCACAGAAAATTACACACGATTGGTTAGAGTTTCACAATACAAGCTGAATCAAAAATTAAATAGAGCAGCTGTTATATACTTTTCGTGGTTAGTGGTTGTGACAAAGAGAAACTGATCAGCCAAAGACATTGCCATGATCCTAATGAATGGTGGAACAGGCTTGAGGGGCAAATGGCCTACTCTTGTTCCCATTTCTTTTGGACTTATAAGCACTATAATGTATTCTAATGCAGTATTTGTTTAAAACACAACTTTAATATTTTGACTGGGATGAGGGCATTTTAAAAATAAATATCTATTGATTCCTAATAAACTTGAATAATCCATTATGCCACCCAGTGAACACTGGGTGAAATAATTCCACCAAGGCCAGTATCCCATCACCGAGTCACCCTTTATTTATGTACGCATGGTACTTGACACTGGTCTGGTCTCCTCGGAGCCAGTTCTCAGGTGAACACAACCTCTGACACTTCTGTTTATATCTATCAGCCAGGGCTCCCTGATCGGACCAGGTTAAAAGCCCCAATCAG